AAGCGCCTGGCCAATAATAGCCTTGTCAAGATTTTGTTGAGCTCTGAGTTTGCAAGCCAACCAAAAAATGAACACTAATCCGCAACATAGGGCATACCAAACAGGCCTACTCCCACCCACTTAAAAAAAAGAAAAAGAAGAAAAGAAAAAGAAGGCTGGAGAAATCCAGGGGGACAGTCCCTCAGTCGGGGACAGATCCATGAGCGTCGAGTTGATGTTCACCACAGCTGTTTTCAATTTTCTGAGTGTCTCATCGAAGTTTTCTGACCAATTTTCTGCAAGATATTGAAACAATTTTCTGGACAGATTAGCTACTCGAGTAAAGTTTTTATACTGTACAGTGGTGATGTAAAGTGCACCCAGTTTTCTCTCACATTCCAATTGGGCTAATTGAAAGAGGATATCCAATCTCTCTCTCACTAAATCAAGGCGTTGATTAAGGATCATTAGCCCGCCTTTTAGTTGGGCGCTGGCGGAGGTTAGAAGGTTAACAGCCTCTGCCACCGTGGCTGACAATTGGTTGAGGGTAGTGTCCATCTGAACAGAAGTTGACATAGCAATCCCAGCGGCAGTGGCGGCAATGACACTGGTATCGCCGTCACTATGGCTGTAGTTATACCAAAATCTCTTTTTTGCCTAAATAATGACAAAGTGGAAGGAGTCTCCACGGGGACGGGAACCCATCGCGGGACTCTGGCAACCATAGCTCGAGTGAATCTTTCAGAATTTTAACACTGGGACATCTAGCAAGTTTCATTGGTACAACTCTTAAAGGTGGAATTTGATAAAATAAACAAAAATACTAGGAACCCAAAGCTGGAGGATCCAAATAAGGATCTGCATATGAGTCTTTTGGGGGGTCATCTTCAGATGTCACGAGTCGCCGCGTCAGTCGCTCTGGTAGCCAAAATGGATTGTCTTCTTTCTGTGGAAAGACACAAACCGCTCCCCTGGCTTTTATTAAAAATAGAATCTGGACCTTTTCATTGTCCGGTCAAGATGTCTTTTTATTTGACCATCTCTTTTGTCCTGTCAGGCTCTAAACAGTGACGGTCAGCAGCGGAATGGCCCTGACTATCCAGATTTAAAATATTGAGGGTAAAAAGTGTTTATCTATCCCTCATCAGTTAATTGTCAAGGGGAATTAGGACTTGCATCTCCCTTGAGAATATCTAACAGAGGTTTACGTTTTTCTATGGTAAGCTGAAGATGAGGTTTTAGCCAATTAATATCTGTTGTTAACAACTTTTGAGAATCATTAAAAGTAAACCATTTTTTGTATGTACACCTGCAAGCCAGAAGATGGCACTAAATCTCACTACAAATGGTTGTGAGCCACCATGTGGTTGTTGGGAATTGAACTCTAATATTTTTAGTTGTGAGTCTAGCCTTTAACGGTGGAACCATCTCTCTAGCCCCAATTATCTACTCTTATTGGAATTTTCTATGTCACAATTGAATTATCAGATATTGAAAAGATACTGCCTTTGAGTCTTTTTGGAGCATCAAGTACTCTAAAATCTTAAAGCTCATTGTACTAGAGCAAAGGCTTGCAGAAAAACTCCTTTAGAGAGATCAGCCAATAAAATATACAGTGAATAATATACACTGAGAGATTCAAACGCTTTAACCTTTTGTATTAAAGCAACAACAAATTTTTTAAGGCCATTAATCATTCTTTGGGGCAAGCTTTTTTATGGCCCAAGGATTATCCTTTTTGTACCAAGGACAAGTTTGTCAGGTAACCTTGGTCACCTGACTGTTGCTCAAGCCTCTGTTTCTGGGACAGTCACTTTAAAAACTATCTAAATTTTCATATTTAAAACACCCCCCATCCCTATGGCTCTGTGTAAGCTATGGCCAGATCTTGATTGTATGAGGGTGCAATTTCATTGCAAAGACTAGTGTATCTAAGTCTGTCTTTGCTTGTATGGTCTGAGAGTTGTGTAGGCAGTTTAACCTGATTAACTTCACACTGACCTTCTCTTACAAGCATGTTAAGATCCCAGTCTGCATGTCTTAATTTAAATGTAAATGTTCTTAATCTCTAGCAGGCCAGCACTGTATCACAACCTGTTTTAAATATTTTTATTTAACTCTACCTGCTGTCCCCCCTTCCATAACATGGGCTAATCAAAAAATCCTAAATTCAAGATTAGAACTGCCAACTGTAGCCAATGGAATACTGGCAGTTTAACTAAATTTTTAAATTTCTTTTGTAACATTAGAGTATAACCATTAATTTTGAGAAGTAAAAGCAAAACCAATTTAAACAATCTATTTTCTCTAAAATCAACACCAAGTAGACTACCCCATGTTACAAAGTTTTGCTGTTAATTTTTACATATAAATGCATGAAGTAGCTTTTACTATCTCATTGAAGAGATATTGGTTTAAAATCTTATTTTTTTATACACTTGGTTTCTGAATGACTCTAACCCTGAGTTAGTTTTACGCCACTTTTCGTTACCAAAGTTGTAAATTTCTAATCACACCCAATGATTTAAGCCAATAGTCTATAACCAAGACATGTAGAACATTTTTATACTTTTAAAACCAATCAGAAACAACAATGAAGTGGCTACATATCTTATTTTTAGATCAAACAAAATTTGTTGTTTTTTCTAGCTGTAATTTCAAGAGAAAAGCACCTTGTCACAGTGATTTTTCTAAGACAAAACAACTCTTAGCTTCCTTATAAAACCCAAAATGCTGTTGATCTCTTTTAAAAGCAGCTTATGCCAACAATCAATATATGAAAAGACTTTTTTAGCTCAGCTTAACTCTTAGCTACAGGTGTAGGGTAGCTGATCAGCTTCTGCTGTGTAAATTAAGACTGTCTTTGAAACAAAGTTAAACTAGCCCAAAGGTTGTATCAAGCAGTTTTAACGATCTTTCCTTTTGAACATGCAACAAACACAGAACATTTAGACAATGAAACAAAAAGCAAACACAAACACGTGGACATTGGCCAAGGACAGACAACAAAGAAGGACATCTAAGAGCTACAGAGAATTTCAGGACGTCTCCCGAATTCTCTGTTTATAGATGAACTCTGAAATGGCTTTTTCATTCTTTTTGCTGACACAGCTCAGAGAGAGGACACCTGTATTTTTAAAACCCTTTCTCTCTCTCTCATATTCAAGATGTAACTTTTCATCTTGTTCATTGGAGATGTAGCAGGCAGCTATTGTAACACTTCAATACCCTGCTTTCTAGTTTTCTAATTCTTTTTAACCCTGCTCTTTCCACCTGAAGCAGCTTTTAGACTGCAGGCAATGTTTGTTTAGAATTTTCCTGACCTATATTTTGTTGTCACCTCCTAGGCAAAATCGGCACTAGGCACCTCATTCACCTAGACTGTATCCCCCGAAACACGCTTCTTGCAAACACAGCCTCCAAATAACCATCACTAGTGCCAGCACTCGATCTCGCGGTGGCGGCCGTTTATCTGGATGGTATCTTTCCTCCTCATAGCGGGCTGTCTGTTCACCTAAATCTTCTTCAGAAAGACTTAGCTCCTCTGACTCAGAGCTATCAAACCGTAAAAACCCCGGTTCCTTTACCAGATAAAGAGGTTTCTTTTCTAGGGCTTTTTCACCTTTTCTACTTTTCTCACCCAGGGTGTCCTTTCCCTGACCTTTCACCCCCTTGGATCGAGGGTCCGTGGGGGGGCCTAATTTCTTTGACATGTCTTTTTTTTCTTTTTCTTTCTGAGCTCGCTTTTTTTTCTGAACTCTTAAGCGCTTCTTTCCCTCTGTTTCTGACATGCTGGCCTGCAATCCGTCTACCACTCCCTGGGCCGCTGCTACAGTTGAGCAGCTTCTCTCATCCTTCAAAACCAGAAGGAGTTGGATGAGCACTGCCTGGGGAGGGAGACAAAATAAATCAAGTCCAAACATATCTATCAGAGATTTACCTTATCCTACGGTTCTGGATCTGCTCCACGAGTGGAGGGTCTTCTTAAACAGCGCCGGCGATGGTGGATTCTCCCGGGTTTCTCGGCACCAACTGTGGGACAAGCGAGTAATCATCTCGCCAGCAAGAACGCACACGCACACACATCAGGATCCTTCTGTAGGAACACGTTTATTCCCAAAAAACAAAATGGTGGAAGAAGATGCCCAGGCCCGGGAAAGCACTGCTTATATACCCTTAGAACGGTGTATTCACCTCTGATTGGCTGCTTACTCATTGCGCGCCAAAACTCCATGGGATGGGCATTAACTTTGGCGGGCTTTTACCATGGCACATGCACAATTTACTTGTTTACTAGGAAGAATCCTGGATGTCAGTGCCATGTTGCAATGGCAGATTTTGCCAGCACCCGCCGCGGCTTCCTACATTAGTGTACCACATGAGAGTCTGCAACTGTACTGGTATCCAAAGACAAATGTAGGGTTCGAGGTTTCACACAGCCCCAATCCTGAACATGTTACCTAGATGTTCATCCTGTAAAGTCTGCAACAAATAAAGCTGAAGCTTGATCAATATTTGTAAAACCATACAGAAATCATTGTAGGCTTCTTATAGATAGTGTATCCACAAACAACCTGTGAATTACATGTGAGTCATATTTGGTGTGAGTGTGTGTGTTTAAATTCTACGTATATGTGTATATTTATATGCTTATGCTTATAAATTTGTGAGTAGGGCACAGATATACCATGGCACACACGTTCGGATGTCAAAACATAAGCTCCAGTGTTAAGTTTCTCTTTCTACATTCTATGATGCAGGCTGTTGTTTGCTGAAAACCAGGCTGGTTGACCTGAGAGCTTCAGATAATTCTCCTGGTTCTGTCTCACATCTCTTGGTTTTCTTATATTGCAGTTTCAGATGCTGCTAGATATGGATTTCATATGAGTTCCTGGCATCCAAAATCATGGAGGAAGTCTTGACTGACCAATGATGAGACTATGGAGCCAACTCTTAAGCCATAACATTCTTTGGTTTAACTTTTATGCTGCAGAAATGAATTTGTAAAAATTCTGCATGCATTCATGTTGATTTGAATTTAATTTTGGTGTTAATTTTAGTTTTTTTCCCTTTCAATTTTATCTTTGGCTGAAAAACTAATTCCAAAAGAACTATTAATTCTCTGGGAGAAAAAGCAATGTCATGACTTGATAAGTAGTTTTTGAAAACTTATCTTGACACAGGATGAAGGACCCAGCCCTCATTGCCACCCTTTCTGTGATGCACTGAGGAGGTCCCTGTGTTTGTCTTCCTCAGTTCAGCTACTCCCCTTTCTTCTTCCTTCCAGCTTTAGTAAACTTCTGACAACAAAAGAGGCAAGACTTTGTGAGGACAAACAGCACAGATGCCACACAGGCCAGCAGGAACCCAAGCACATCCAGAGAGTGGTATTGGACCCAGTTGAGGTCATGAGCTGCCACACGAAGATGCTTGGCTCCTTTGTGGCGCATGACATATTCAATCCAGAAGACTGCTCTGTCCAGGGGCTTCACTGGCTGATCGTGGTGGATTCTTGATAACCGCATGGCATTCTCCTTGTAGCTAAAAATATCAACAATAAAAACCTATTAATTTTGTAGTGCATAAAGCTCATGAATGCTTCAGGGAAAGCATCATGATACTACATAATTTCAGTAGTAGAGTGCTAGGTGAGTATGGATTTGATTGGAGTATGTTTGAAAGTTTGTATGTAGGTTGACATTTTCTGAGAATTTTTTACTTCCAAATAGGAAATGAGATATCGTATGGTAATAACTCTTTCCAGAATAGGAAATGTTTGTAAGTCATTCCAAACCCAGCAAGTGCAGTGGTTCAATGTCATTTCAAGATGATTGCATTGATGCCCTTGAAAAGAAACAGTGTCAAACTTCTTTGACATCTCAATAAAACATCATCAATGCTTAAAAAATGGTAACTGAAGAGAAATGGATATATTTTCCAAACATGACACAAGACATGAGCTTCAAATGCAGCTATTTGACAATTTGCCTAGACTCCTCAGGGGTCTGAATTCACCATATATTACTCAAAGAGACACAATCACAATAATGAAAAGGGAGGATAGGAAATGGAATTCATCACCTCCTTTTTGTCCTGTTTATTCAAATTGTGTCTGTGTGTGGTTCTGGGGGAGTGGCATAAACCCTGTAGTATGTGTGGAGGTCAGAGGAAAATTTGTGGGCCTGAGTTCTCTGAGTTAAGAATGTACAACCAGATTGATATCAGGATTTCAGGCTGATCAATGGATCAAGGGGTTGAAGTATTACTCACATAAGCAAATGCTTTAATGAAATTTAAGATGGCCACCACAAAAAGAGCATGGATTTGGTGATCATATTGTAAAAAGAATTACCCCAGTGTTTAGCTTTCAGACTATTAGTTATCTATTTAAGTAAAGAGTAAACAGATTAAAAAATATCTTCATGTCCATAGTTTATGAAGCTCTAATCGGACAGGTAAGTAGAGGAATTGACCGAGATGCCCATTGTTGGAAGACGGATGAGGGAAATGTGGTATGAAAGCACTGTGAATATTTTCTCAACCATTATAACGAATGAAATCCTTTCTTTACAACCTCCCAAGGTTTATACTAAATCACATAAAGTATGCCCTAAAGGGAAACACTACACTTTCTCAAGACTGTGTGGAAACTAGCAGAGCTGATTTTTATGTAAGTATGGGTAGACCACTGGTAACTGATGTCTGGGAAGAAGACAGTGGGGATTGAGAGATCAGCTATGCATCTTGCCACTGGACAGCAAGATCATTCTGCATAGAAAGTGAGTGACTGAATTTCAAGTTACATATCTTATTATAATTAAGAGGACTATAGAATGGAAGATTTCAGCATTGACAAAATGACATTATAAACGTTGAAAAAGTTGAAAATTTTAAGTATTTATATTTGGTAATTACATATAATATTTCTATACATGCATTTATATGGATAATTATTTTACTTTGGGCAATAAGAGAGGATTATTTTAAAAAAGAGGAAGAGTTTTAGAAATTGTGAGTCACTGAATTGAAATGTTTTATATATGTTTTAGCTTCATTATCCTGTTTCTTGATTTGATCCTGTTTGTGGAAATTATGTCTTTTGATTTAGCAAAAGAAGAAAATTCCCAGTATCAAATTATACTAATCTAATTTCTCATGCAATAAGTCATGAGGGTAGTTTGCAGTCTTAGTTTACATTTAAAGCTCTTTCCACAAAGGTTAAGTAAGTTTTATATTTAGTCTTATTGTTTTTTTCACTATCAGACTCAAGATCAGAGGAAAGCTAGTATTACCTTTGAGAGAACCTATCTTTTTGTTTGTTTGTTTGTTTGTTTTTCTGAGACAGGTTTTCTCTGTGTAGCCCTGGCTGTCCTGGAACTCACTCTGTAGACCAGGCTGACATCGAACTCAGAAATCTGCCTGCCTCTGCCTCTTGAGTGCTGGGATAAAGGCAGATGCCGCCACTGTCCAGCAAGAGAACTCATCTTGACTAGTAGTAATTTCACAAAAGCACAGTACTCACGAAGGGTCATTAGTGACTGTCTTCAGTGCAGTGACCAAATCTGTACTGGACATTGTGAGAAAGTCTAGTCTAATAGCTGCTCCTTTGGTCTTCAAGTGAACAATATTGTCATATTGGTCTGCAAACAAAGGAATGCCAACTACAGGAATCCCGTGGTAGATCGCCTCATAGATGCCATTGGTGCCACCATGAGTTACAAAAGCTCTGGTTTTTGGATGACCTAGGAGGAGTGGGAATGAAGTTAAAGTATTAGTAACCATAATTCTGAGAGAGAAAACAAGAAGCAGAGGCTAAAGGCAAGAGTTGGTACAATGTGCTCTGGATAGTGTTGTGATAACCAAGTGACTGTACTGCTTCTGTGTGATTTAAGGCAAGTCTGTTGAGCTTCAAGTGAAGTCCATATTGAGGAGGAGGAGAGTGGAAGTAGAAGGATTATTTTTTCATTGGACAGAAAAGGCAATGTTCCCCCAAATGGAGAAAACATGGGGTGCAAGCTCAGGCTGTGGTTCAGGCAATATCTTCTGAAGAAACAGTGAAGAAACCCCTGATGGGTTGGCCTAAGCAGTAGGGTTTGTGTGCTCATGGTACAGAAATCAGACTGAGCAAATTTTGTCACATCTGGTACTACACTCTGTGTGGAGGTTTGGTGTGAAGGTAGTAAATGAAGAGTCAATTATGGAAGAATGCCATTTTATTGGCTTTCAAAACTACTGTACAGTATGGGAAAGGGTAGATGTAAAGTTATAGAAATGGGAGGTAGGAAGAAACATGTAGAAGTGATTTAAGTAGATATGAAAAGTAACCAGAAAAGAAATCAAAATGGCTTCTCCACATCTTGAATGTTAGTAGAATAGCCATATTGATACTTTACCCATTTTTACCAGGACTCTATTTCACTTGTCATAAATGCATTAGTGCTGAAATTTACGTTCCTGACTGGCCATTCCTCATGTCTCAGTTGTGTCCTGATGCTTACCTAGAAGGTCATTCTGGGGGATCCATTTGTACAGGCGAGTGTTGGAACCCAAGGTTTCTGGCTTCTTGCCTTCAAATCTCCACAGAACCTGTTAAGATGAAGCTAGCCTCTTATTCCCTTGGTCAAATGTCAAGTTACCATGGTAGAATTCAGAAGAGGTTAAGAAACAATGGAGATAAAATCCCACTGTGTTGGAGCCAGGCATGAGGATGACTGATGAGGATCATAAGGAATTACTACAGCAAGGATGCAAATATTCATCATACTTCTGCATGATACAACCCCATTTGTGAAACTTACATATTTTCTCTCTTCTATTTGGCCTCTTTGAGAAGAGGTTTTTAGTGCAATATGTTGTTATTATGATTTGCCCTCCCCAAATTCCTCTCTAGATCCTGCTCTCCTCCTGTTTCATCCAAATTCATATCCTTTCTCTCTCTGCTTTTCCTTAGAAACATAACAGATATCTTTAGTAATAATAATGATAACAATAATCATAATAAGATAATATGAAAGAATAACAAGGAAATGACAATATCAGAAAGTCCGTTTTAAAATAAAGAAAAGTCCGTTTTTATTTATGTAGAAATTAGTGAGTTTATATGTTTGTTTGTGTGTGTGTGTGTGTGCATACATATGTATGGGAAATGTGCATTGGTGTCATCAGGACAACTTCAATTTCACATAGGAGGCATCTGTAAGCAGATCTAGAAGAGCATATGACCACCTCAGTGAGGAATCATCACTGAGACACTGTAACTCACCTTCTGTGGAATCTGGGCAAGGCCTGCTGCAATCACATTGGCCCTTTCTTCTGTTAGGTTGCCTATCATGGATCCCAGTGTAAACACCACAACACCGTGTTCTCCAGATGACTGGACAAAGTCTTCTATTTCCTGTTAGTGAAATATCAGACCATCACTAAGAGGAGAAGCACCAAACAATCTGTATAAAAACAGACACCAACATTCATGGGAAGAAACTGACGAATCTCAGAAATGATCAGAATATCAGGTCCTTTAAAACTGTTCACATTCACATGTAAGATGTACACGTGTAAACCATTGTACACAGGTTACAGTTCTCCTAGTCATACAAATTGCCCTGAGTCATTTTATGCTTTAAGTAAGGACTTTTAGAAATTAAATCCAAAGTTCTCCTTCTGCCTCCTTTTTCCTTTGGCTACCAATCATCTGTTTTCTCTTTCTATAATTTGAACCAGTATATGTAGTTTACATAAGGTATTCTTATTTTCTTGTTTGCTAGCTCAGTTAATTTAGTGTACTTTTATTAATGTCAGACCATGCATCATTATATCCCAGGTTTTAAAAGTTTAAATATTTCTGTGTATTTGTGCAAAACACATCACACACATATGTATGTGTGTATGTGTATTTACACACATGTATTTGGGCAATATGTAAATATATGTACATGTACATGAATGAACATGTATACATATATAAAAACATATACATATGTACATATATAAACACATACAGTTATATGTAGTTATACATATATTATACATAAACATATATATTTATTTATTAAATTTCTAGTGATATCTAGGTTGGACCCTCTTTGAAGTTACTGTTCTAAAGCTAGCTGGAAATAGGATAATTAAGATAACCTATAAAAGAAAGCATTTATTTGGAGGTTTGCTTACAGTTTTAGGGGTTTAATCTAATAACTTATTGTTGGATCGCACCATGGCAGGCAGGAAGGCATGTCACTGGAATAAAAGCCCGGAGCTGAACCTAATCCATATGTTGCAGAGAGACAGAAGGAGATCAGGCATGGCTTAGGCTTTAGAAATATCAAAGTCCATCTCCAGTGACACATTTTCTCCAACAAAGACACACCTCCTAATCTTTCTTAAGTACTTCACCAACTGGGAAACCAGCATTCAATATGAGCATAAGGGGGCCATTCTAATGCAAGCCACCTGTCTCTTTTGAGGAAGAGTGATGTTCTGATCATCCTTGTATTACTCTCTCATTGAAACCCTTCATTCATTTCCTCTTCATGCATGCTAAGGACAGGATTTCATGGGCCTTGAATCTAATTCTAACTTTTTTTTTAAAGAATGTCATTCTCTCACACACCTAATAAGTTCATGAAATTTGTTTTCATTTTCATGAAGGATGATCAAATCAAAGCAAACAGTACATTTCATCAATTAAATAGTTATCAGTTCTTTAGTGTGGGAACACAGCATATTTCTCTTTTAGCTGTTCTTAGATACACATTCAATTTTAAAGTGTGCATTTTTTGTGCATGGTCGATATAGTGTGTCAAATATATATTGTTTGAACAGCACCGAAGTGTTTGAATACGTAATAATATGAAGCAGTTCATTTAGAGGAACAACGATTCCCACCACAAAGGACAAAAAAAATCAACAGTTATTGACTAGGGTAAAAACTTGTTTCAGAAACTGCAATCCACTCCCCATTATTCCTAATTACCATGCATAGTCTTTCCTCTCACACCATTCCTTCTGTTTGCCTTTCAGCTGCACTGGGCTTGTTGGGCCAGCTCTCTCCTACTGAAGTCAGCCTCAGTACACCCTTCATGCCCTCAGTCTGCACCCCCTTCTCCTGTTGGCATTGCCACTCCCTTACTGTAAAGATGGGGTCTCCTGTAAACACTGCTGGCCTGCACAGAATTTGGGAATCTTCCTCTGATTTTCGAGTTTTCTGTAACTATACACATCCCAACTGGATTAGAAAGAGACATGTCATCTTTTGTGTAACATCACATGATGTTGCTGTCAATGCCCAACTATGAGGGATTTCCAAAGACTTTTCTCACTAGAGGAGAAAAAAGTCCCCCCCCCCTCTTTCTCTCTCTCTCTCCTTAATTTTTCAAGACAGGGTTTCTCTGTGTAGCTGTGGCTGTCCTGTTACTTGCTCTGGAGACCAGGCTGGCCTCGAACTCAGAAATCCACCTGCCTCTGCCTCCAAAGTGCTGGGACTAAAGGCATGCACCACCACTGCCCAGCAAGTTTCACTTCTCTTGCATCATGAAGTATTATGTTATTTAAAATTGCACCATATTCCTCTGTACCTTCAGGGTGTATATAAAATTCATTTATACACATTACCTAAGAGCAGGTTTTAGAGACCATGGAGATACTGAGCTTTATTAAATGAGCAAAACTATGTGCCTTATCTTGCCAAATATCTTGACACCTCTTATACTGCCAGGAAACTTGGCCTTCCTTTACTGTAACATTTACACAGTTGTGTTATTTGCTCATAGTGAAACTTGAAAGTAGAACAGTTGTTGCTCCCGGGGGAGCTTGTGCACACTGTTTCCCAGTATACTCCCTTTGTCGTTACCTGTGGGGTGGACCTGTCACCTCTTGTATGGTCTGCTTGAATCACTGATACTTCCTGTGTTGACAAGTAGTCTAACTGTCCCTGTCCCCAAATATCAACTAGATCCATTAAGGAAATGCAGACATTTTGATGGAACAGATTTAGGCCTTACTTTGGTCTGTTGCCTTTACCTAAATTCCTGTGACTCTCTGAGTTTGACACAAAGATTCTGAAGGAATAAACTATATCACTCATGTTGCAAAAGCAAGGCAAACAGAAGCAAAAAACCAGGAATATATTTACCTTAGGCAGGGGCTTGGCAGGTCTGCAGTGGAGTCCACCAACAAACTCAAAATTTGGTAAGACAGGATGAGGAAATTCCAAATCCCAGTAGGTCCTAATGAGCCATATGTCTGCCTTTGCCATAGTTTCTGTGAGTGTTGTGGGTTTTCCTAAAGAAGAATCAGATTAGGGAATATATAAGATGTGACAAAATGTCAGGTAGACTTCTGGAAGCACTTCTGATAATGCAGCCAGAGATGTTTACAAGTCTAGAGATTTGGTGTTACAAATAGGTGTGTGTCAGGGGCCATAATGGACCAAGCTAATAAGTAGCAGGTGATCATCCTGAAATGCTTTCCTTGGATTATTATATAATCTGTGACAAGTGAGCTCTCATCCAGCAAGGCTGTGCGTGACTAATTTTAGGAATTATTCCTGCTATTAAAATGCTTTTGCTATTATTATTATTATTATTATTATCATTATTATTATTGACATGTAACAATCATCAAGGAAAAGCAAACCCCTTTGGAGCAGATCCTTGCAGATCCATGAAGATGTAATGTCTTGTAGTGATGCCATATAGACAAATAGATGACTTCTTAAGTCTTAAAGATGATTCTATAAGAATTCCTAAAATTATATCAATGACTATTAAACTCTTTTATAGTGGGACTCCTATTAGATCCCTTTCTGATAGTCAAAATTGCAATCAGAACTCTGCCAGTCTCCTGAGTGTCATCAGTTAATTGCCCTTAGATAGTAACAAGACCTTCTCCTGCTCAGAGTACATTCCAAGAAGTTATAAAACAATTAACCAAAGATCACTAAAAGGAAACTCATGATTTGTTATAGGTACTAGGACAGAAGAGAAAATATTGCCTGGGTTTATCTATACAAAACTTCACTAATTTCTTAGTTACAGTTTTAAAACTTCAGTGAACCTGTGGCGCTAGACAGATGATGAATGTTTAGTCAGATAATTACTCCTAATGGATATGCATGTAAACATTATCTGTTGTAAACTTCTGTTTCAATTTATGATTTGAATTTTGGTGTGAACTTGTGATGAACTTTGTAAGATGTGATCATGTACTCTAAATGATGTATAAGTACTGAAAACAAAGACAAAGGGACATTCATTAGGCGTCATTTATTCTTTCCTTTCCTTTTCCCCTCCTTAGAACTTTTTCACTTAGAATTTTTCCTTGGTTACAATTTTTTCTTTTCCCCACTTAGGACCTTTCCACTTTTCCTCTTAGATAGCTTTCATAGAAAACATTTTACACTTAGTAATAAACTCTTTAATAACTTTTCTAAGTGTTTTTTCTTCCTGTGACCTCAGATTAGCAGGCATAAATCAGGGCCCAGCAGTTCCTGCTGAGATAGAACAAAGGCCACATTGCCTAATCCTCTGCTGTTTTTGGGCTGAGGTGTTAAGTGTTAGAAATGGAAGTTTCTGGACAGAGGATACCAGTGGGCAGGCCAGCTACAGTAGCATAGTAAGTGAAGTTTTCTAGTACAAATAAGTAAACTTTGATTATAGAGCAACCCTAAATATCTCATAAGGCCCAAGGCCTTACCCTGAATCTCATAAAACCAAGTCTTACCCCACCCCCAATGCTCTTCCATCTCCAATCCCCCTTGACTGTCTCAAGAAGAACTGACAAAGAGAAGAAAGAAGAAGCTGCTTCACCTCCCACCAAGCTGGGGCTGGCCCCAGGCTGGTGTTTCTCTTTCTCTCTCTCTCTCTCTCTCTCTCTCTCTCTCTCTCTCTCTCTCTCT